TTCTTTTAAACACCAGCGTTACAAAAAGAAAAACCCCCCCTGCGAACAGATAGAGAGCGAACCCCGCGCGTGCCCTGTGGAGCTGCCCATGAGGGAGGCGGAAGGTTCTAGAAGCCGCCATGGGGCTCCCAGGCTGTCCAGCGGCGGCCTGGGCGCTCGCGGTGCCGCAACCCGCACGGAACCGCGCGGACCCGGACGGACCCAGCGGGAGGGAGCAGGGAAGGGCCCATCCCGCTGGGCCCTCTCCCCGCTGTCGGGAATGCCGTTCTCATCCGGGAACTGCCGTGCCCGTTTCATGCCCTTTTTCAGGTTTCTGGAGCACAGTCCAAACCAGTCTCATATTTGCATGCTATGTACAGATTGTCCTGAAGCACGTGAGGAAAAAAAATGTTAAAAAGCCAGTCACCCCCCTCCCTTTTTCTTTTTTTTTTAAAAAAAATATATCAGTCTTGAAGTAACCAGGATTTCTGTTTCCAAAGGCTCTCTCCTAACGGGAACAAAAGCAGCCTTCCCAGCACACGCAGGGCTCTTGCTACTCCAGGATCACAGCAGCTCAGGGGGTGCAAGAAGCAGGGGCCGAGCCCCGGCCCTCACCGCGGCCTCGGGGCCAAAAGTGACAACACGGAGGGGACAAGCAGCTTCCTGCGGGACACGGTCTGCTCCGTGGGGCCCTCCTGGCTTCCCAAAGCCCTCCTGCCTCCTGCAAGGCAACACAACTCATCCATCAGCTACAGGATCAGCTACGCTGGGGTTAAAGTTATCACTGGCGATGATATAAGAGGGCACAGATACCTTGGTTGAATCAGATCCTCAAATCAGTTACAAAACTGGTTATTAAAAAGGTCAAACTTTATTGTGAAAACCAGTAGTCTTCCAGGACCACCCCTCCACCCATATCAGTCAGTCCACTTTAAAACTAGATTGTGTTTAAATCCAGAAAACAATCTTCAGGTAATTTTAAAGCCAAGCTGATTTGGGGACAGTATACCATTTAAAATAATTATAACAGAGAACAAAGTTATTTAATTGAATCTGCTCTACAATAACCTAATTATTTTCCAGTTCTAGGGCAAAAAAAAAAGCACAATCACAACTGGCTTGTGGTGGGCGGGTATGTTGAAGGCACGAGAACACAGCACGTTCAGCTACATTGCAGAGGAGTTGTGTATCGGGCCAAAAGAGGCTCCCTGGAGAGTTTTGAGACATACTCAGGAGGCGCTTCTAGAATTTGGTGAGGTCGTCCCAGGATGTTGCTAATAATTCAGAAAAACCAACAGAAACAGAAGACATGGAGACATTTACACTCACCTTTGAAAAGGAAATCCGAGAGTTCATCGATACAATCAGGCCTTTTAAACGTGTCTCAGTTGCCCTAACAGAGCCAATTACCTGGCTTAACCTCAGCTGCTGAATTCAGGACTCATGGAAGTCACCTCTACATATAGACTAAGCACCCTAAAGCCAGATACACGAGTTTTATGTGTGTAATTGCCACTATCCCTCCTGTTCAGCACTCGGCATTATTTCAGTTCCCATGTTCTTTACAATTTTGTCTGCACTTTGTTTTTGAGGGGCCAAAACGGGGAAAAGGGAATGGTGAAAAAGGTACTTGGGAGAGACTGGCAGAGCTGTGTAACTGCAGAGATCCAACATCCCGTGCAAAAAAATCTACCTCAGTGGGTAAACCCAACATGACATGAGTCATGACCAACAACACGGTGCAGATTATCAATTATTGGGAATGTCAGAGCAAAAACTGAACTCTGCAAATTTTCCCCAGACAGATGGGGGGGAAACAGAGCCTTTAATCTTCCCTGACCTGTTCACAACAGAGCATTACAGGATTTTGTGTGTTGTGGAGATGTGGAGCAGTCTGGTGTCCTGATACACTGGGAAAGGCCTCCTGAGCACTCGCTGCAGGGAGCAGAGCAGCGATTCTCCCGGTTTTGGGGTCTAAGAGTCGCCCCCATGAGCACCCAGCGCGCTCCCTCCTGCCACCCGCTCCCTCCGTTCCCGGACTCAACCATCCTGGTTCCTCCTGGCCGCAGTTAAACTAGAGGCACTTGCAGGGAAGGCTTTAATTGCTCAAACAGGCGAACGGCATCCAAGATACACAAGCAGGGATCACAATTTATTTACCTGTGCTTTCCTCCGGGTGCACGGTGGGGGTTTTCCTGGGCCCCCGCTGCTCGCCGCTCTTCTCCCCGTTGCTCTCCTCCAGCGTTAGGACAGGCTCCTGGCTCTTCATGAGCTGACTCAGCAGAACAGCCAGCACGTTCTGCATGTCTCCCTGAGCGCTGGCTGCTTCTGGAGTCGCCTGCTCCTCCGGTGGCGGGGCCTCCGTGGGTGGCTCTTCTATGGCTTCCTCTGCTGCCGCCGCCTGAGACTCGTGTTGCTGAGTGGTGGCTTCTGTCAGAGCGTTGATGGACTGGTTGAGAGCCTCCAGCTGCTGCTGCATCTCTGGGTTCGAGTGTACATTCAACAGCTGGGCCATCTGTGGGACACTCAGATCAGTCTGGCTCTGCAGCAAGTTCAGTAAAACAGCCAGTTCGCTCTGATTCAGCTGCTGGGTGATCTCTCCAAGGCCTGCAGGGAACACAAACAGCATCACGGAACGGTTACGGAAAGCTGCAGCGCGCTGCTCCGTGACCACGACGCCCAAACTCCCGCATCCCAACGCCTCCCTTCCCCGCGTCCCCGGGGAAGGCGGTGAGGCTTTACGGGGAGGATTCCGGGAGCACCGCTCCGCTTCCCGCGTCGGCTCGGAGCCGAGCGGCGCTGCAGCAGCACCCCGTGGCCCTGCCACGCACTGCACTCGCGCGGGCTCCGCGGCGCTTTGTCGCTGCCTGCTCCAACCTGCCAACAAACTGCGCACGCAGCTGCTCATCAGAGCAGCATATTTGATGTTAGCTGCTCACCGGAGCAGCCAGACCCAACGTCCCCACTCGTGGGGCAGGTAACTCCTCGAGGGCACCCCAAAACCAAAGCGTGAGCGGCCACCCCAGCAGTTACCCCCAAACAAGGCTGAGGATGCGTGAGGAAGATTGAAACCCTCCAGCCCAGCTCAGCAGCAACCGGAGCAGCAGCTCTGGTGGCAGCTCAGCACCTTCCCAAGGTCTCTGCAGCACTTGGTGGATCAAACGCCCTCCCTCTCGCACCGAAAAGCACATTCCCCGGCACTGATTTATGCTGCTGCTTGGAAGGAAGGATGTTCCACTAACAGCAAGAGAAATTAGGCCACGCAGAACACAGTTCTGTGCGGAAAGCTGGCCTGGGATCACACAGGCCTCCACCCTGGCCCCAAAGCAGCCAGGTTAGTCTGAAATAGAGGCCCTGAAGGGCATCGCCTCCTCCTGTGCCACCCCGGTGAGGGTGACGAGGGTGTCACTTCACACTGACCTTGCGTGTCACGCAAACTCTCTGGGAAGCGGGATGCACCATTTGGATTTAGAAGCTTAAAAATAAGCTCCCCGTGCTGGTAGACGACCAATAATGTGAAACTCCTTTCTCAGCTGTTTGCTAATCTGACCACCACCTTTTGTCCATCTGCCATGTTCCATTGAACACATGGATTGCGCATTCCCTGGAGCAAGAACCGTCTTTCCTGCTATTTGTCTGGACAGCACGCGACACAAAGGAAGCTTCTGCCTGCATCTGGGTTTTTACAGATCTTCCACAGAACAATCAGCCGGGTCCAGGCAAACTTGCACATCTCTGCATTCCCTGGAAGCAGAACACCTCTCCTAAAGCCATTTCTTAGACACTAAAAGGTTGATCGTGGTTTTGGGAACAGTGTACAAATCCTGGTCTGGCAAGTCATTATGACCAAGAGATGTTTTTCTGCAGGAAGTACTGTGCAAAAATTTGCATTTCCACCCACCAACCACTAGTCTGTCGTTACATGCCTAAACTTTATGTAATTTGATCAATAAGATCATGAACTTCAGCTCACTTGTGCTCCCTTTCCCTTCAGCCTATTATTTGCTACTCTGCTCGTCTACGTGATTCCAGAATTCCTTCCATCACTCTCCATGAAAACATGTGTAGGAACCAACAACGTCACTCATACAGTGAATTTAGTCAGCTATTATATAGAACAGCTGACTGTATAGTCAGCTATTCAGAGATTCCAAATATCATCCAGAATTCTCTGCACCCAGTAGTCTTCAGAACAGAGACAGGAGGCTGTTTCAAAAGAATTAAAGAATCCCCCTGGCTTAAAAAGAGGCAAAAGCCTCCACACCCAGCACAGAGATGGCAGGGATGCAATTTAGCAGCAAGATCTTTGCACAGACCAGACGAGGCACTGACCTACTGCATCTCCAACACCGGGCTCTGTTTTGAGCTGGGCAGGCGGTGGCTGCACAGGACTGCTGTTGTTTTTGACAGTGTCCGTGCTTGTAACAGAGGTAGTTTCTTTCCGAGAAACTTTTGATACCGGTGGCTCCTCCACTGCGATCCCACTCTGCCGCTGCCGTCGGCGTTTCTTGCTCCACAGCTCGTGGCAATCCTGCCAATGGGGGAGGCTGGAAGAGAACAACAACTCTTAATAGCTTAGAAAGATTGGAAGGATATTAATTTTATCCTCGAAGATCACAGAAAATTATTCGTGCCATAAAAGAAGCGCGGATGCTCCCCTGACTGCAACGTACTTTTACACTCAAAAGGGGCAAGTCCTAGAACTGGGAAAGAGGATTATACTGCGCATGAATCATTTAATTTGCACTAGTCCTTATTCCTGAAAGGGCTGTGCTACTATATATGCACACAACCCGCCGTAAGGGTAAATCTGTTAAGCTTTCAAAGTATGGTGGCTTTGGGTGAGCAGCTGCCATTAGGAATTCTGAAGGAAACAGGAATCCTAAAAGCTACAACCTACTTGCGTGCAATGAAGCTACTGCAGAGTTTCGTATTCCACTCACCCGGGGTAGGAGGAGAGAGCTACAAAGGCAGCTTTGGAAAAAACAACACTAGAGAGGGAAAAAAGAGCATAGGAAAAACTATTTGCTCAGCTGTATGACAAAACACTGGGGCACAGCGAAGAAAAGAAGCCAGAAATCGGTGAAAACAAGGCCAAGGCGATGGCTCCTTCGCAACGCTCACTTAGAGTGCCCACCGTGGTGGCAGATGCCAGCTGGAACTTACTCCGGGGGTGCCATCTTGCTGAGGTCAACGTCCTTCAGGAAGTCGCTCTGCAGGGCCTGCTCCGCCGTGCAGCGCTTGCCGGGGTCCAGCGTCAGCATGTGATCCAGCAGGTCGAGCGCGGACGACGGAATGCTGCGCGGAGATCGAACACAGGGAGGGATTAACAGGCTGTTCTCAACAGAAACCCATTTCCAGAGAGCCACCTCAAGCCTAACAGAAACCTACGCAGGCAAATTTACTAGTAAGCAATGCCGCAGCTCACAGACATCATCAGAACAGGCATCAGATTAGTAATATTTTCAGTCTAATTTTTACCACTTTTGAAGAGCGGCTCTGTACAAATCCCCAGAGATTATCACACAATTATATTGTGCCCCCAGAGAGCACATCTGTGAAGTCAGACAGCCTCTGCACTGTGCAAATGCCATCCTGTGAAGCTTCCAAGCGCAGACTGACAAGGCAGACTGCAGCTAGACATGTACACGGAGGCAGGAAAACCCCTCCAGGAGGCACCTGTGGCAGATCAGGTATTTAGAGAGGGGATAGTGACCACATTCCAGCCTTCCACGGATGACAGCAGCCCTCCTGGAGAGGAGGGCAGGTACACAGGAGGAGCACTGCCCATCCTGCCCAGGAGGCTGGAGCCAACGGATCGCACGTCAGCCACACGACATAACAGGGCACGATTCTAACGTGCCCCCTTGTCCTCTCTTCTGCTCGGACTCACAAGGAGAACTCTTCACGCAGGCGCCTTCGGTATTGCTTCTTGGGCTTCATAGTGTTGAAGTAGGGCAACTTGATGACATCCGGCCACACTGCTGGACAGGGGCTCCCACAGAGTCGGCTGAGAAGCAGAAAAGCAAAGAGTTATCAGCACGTGAAACACATCGGAGAATAGTCACCACCCAAGTGAAAACATTTCCTCTTCAGCAATTAGGCATATCAGCATTTTAGGATTGGGTACAGTATTAAACAAAGACCCAGGTTAAAAAAGCAAGCATCACGAACAGGAGAAAAGATTACTTAGAATTGATACACCATCTAACAAACAGAATTTTCAGTGGTGAGATCTAATTTAAGGCCACGATATTTGCACTCTAACAGCACAAGTTTACTGAGGGTGCATACATTAACAGACACATGCTTGACTGCAGGTGTGGACACCCAGAGGCCTAACCATTCACATTTGCAGTTATCGTGATGTACTGGTCCTAATTTGCAGGCAGATTAGAGGAAGAGGGCTCTTATAATACACAGACTGTGTGCATGAGCAGTTTCTGCAGTGCCTCTTCTCATAGGCATGCATGTGCAATGCTTTACCTGATTAATTCAAGCTGAGCCAGTTCCAGATTGGCTTGAAAAATAGGCTTCTTTGTAAACAGTTCCCCGAGGATACAGCTGGAAAGAGGAAAAGCAAGAGGTCATGACAGCAAACTCTTGGGATGATCGTTTGAACACTGCAGCATTGCTGTTCGGAAGCAGGTTTGCCTGAGGAGAGTTATTTGCATCAGGGCTTGTAGTTGAGAACTGACAAACTAACCTATGTGTAAAGAGCCACCAATTCCACACAGCTGGGAAATAACATCCACTAGCAGGCTGGTTACCACACCACGGGCTTAATGCTTTAACTCTTTACAGGGAAAAGGGAAAGCACCAAGAGCAGAATGAGAAGAACACCCAGAAATCTCAGGTTCCCCAGGCTCAGCCCAATTCTCCCTCCAACTCCACTGTCACAGGTTGAGATATCTGCTCACCCAGCTATTCTCTGCTGCCAGTAGTTTTTTGTTTATCATTGCCAGGCACAGGACAGTCTTACACACACATCTGTGCACACACAACACTTCCTAATAGTTGGAAGGGAAGGAAATGAGGGAGGGGAGAGCTCTCACTCATTCAGCCCTCAACATCTATGCTTAAGGCCTGTGACAGCAATGGCAATTGGTGCCAGACAGAGCTGTGGCCTCTTGCAGGCACCTGGCTGCTGGAACTGGACCGAGCCACTTGTCTGGCACAAGGCAGTGAACTGGACTTCACAGCCAGAACTTCCACGAGTAATTAGCAGCACACATTTTATGCTCCTGTGTATCAATACCTAAACACATTTTGTTTATTATTAAACGATTTAGCATTAGTTAGTTGACAAATCTATTGCTTTAAGGCACAGGATTTGAAAGGATTCCAATACTATCGGAACACTTTGTCCAGCTAGAAGAGAAATCAGATTTGGCAAATGATACAAACCAGGTACTTACCCGCAGCTCCACACATCTATGGCTGGTGTGTAACGCTCCTCACCTAGCAGCAATTCTGGAGGTCGATACCACAATGTAATGACTTTATTTGTATATGGACGGCTGTAATATAAGATATACGGAAGTTGCAATCATTACTCCCAAAATGTAGCACTTAATTAGAACTGGGGGGTTCTCAAGTACTTATCCCTCCCTGACCTGCAACCGGCTGCCACTACTCAACAGTGGTTGACCTCCTCAGGTCAAAGCAAAATGGGGACATTAACAAAAGAGCTCGTCTCACTTATGTTAGACATTTCTCCCTTCTTTCACCTCATCATGTCTCACCTCTCCTCTGAGCTGTAGAGTCGGGCGAGTCCAAAATCTGCAAGTTTGATTTGCCCACTGAAAGACAAAAGCAGTCACTAGTTGGAATCATAGCAGTAAAAAGAAGGAAAACTCCTCCATGCAGTAGGCATCTCTAGCAAAGCAATGTTTGCAGTAATTATTTTGGCAAAGCTGGTCTTAGTTTTTCAGACCCTGTTTGATCCTTCCAAGAAATGAGAATACCTGCAATAATTCAGTCTCCTCTCCACCACAAAACCTACTCAGTGGACCAACATTCCAGTGAAATCTTTTCGCATGTGGATACCCATGTAATGCAACTATGCGCAGTGTTAGTCTTATTGGCTTAAACTTTTCTTATGGATACCCAGGTAAAGACTTGAAAATTAACAGTAAACAAATAACAAATAACACTATAATGTGTTCTACGGTGAAATAGAGCGTTTTATATAAGTGAAAATTCATGGAGAGCTGCTACTTCCTACTTTAACCTTCAATGCTTTCTCTGCATACAAGCACTTAGAATAAACAGTGCACTAAAAGTCACCATGAAAGAAATGCAACTAAAAGGAGCTGCAAATCTAAGCAGAGGGTCCCACATGGAGAGATTACCACAAGCAGATCACCCTGAATTGTATCTAGTCCCAAGTTACCTGTTGTTCAGTAAGATGTTGGAGCACTTGATATCTCGATGAAGGAAGTTCTTTTTGTGGCAATAATCCAGACCTTCCATTAACTGTTTCATGAAAGACTTGATATGGTCCTCTGAGAAATGTACCAACCCGGATTCTAGCAGCCCCATTAGGTCATGGTCCATGTACTCAAACACAAGGTAAAAGGCACCTGGTAAAATAAAGAGAAACAAGGGAAAAGTAGAAATAAATTCACTGCTGAGAAAAACAATTGATTGTTGAGAAAAGTCCCAAGGCAAGAAAAGCTCACGGGGTATTAAAGCACCTTTCTTCCACAGTGATGGAGGATCAAAGACCTTTCACACTATCAGTATTCTGTCAGCACCAATCAGTGTTAGAAGTGATTTGTAAAAGTTTTAGGAAAAAAAGCATTTTCTGACTCTGCAAGAACAAATGCAATGCACCCTTTTAATTCCGACTCATATTAATTGGAACCTATTATTTGATGCAAAGCCAAATCCAGATGACAAAACAAATGCAATGCACCCTTTTAATTCCACCTCCGCTATGTGATGTAACGACTCATATTAATTGAAACCTATTATTTGATGTAAAGCCAAATCCAGATGACACACTTTTGCTGGAACTGCTACATCAAGAAAGCGCATAAAGAAAACTGACACACAGCAGGACTTAGATCTCTGCTTTTACAATAAGGATAACAAAGATTGTGTCACCTCTTCAGTTCATTGAAACCACACCCTGTGGTGTAATACCTTTGTCCTTCTTGAAATCCAGTGCATCTTGTTTGTCCGTGACAATTTCCTTCATGTTGACAACGCTGCGGTGGATGAGCTGCCGGAGGATCTTGATCTCGCGGATGGCGGTGATGGGGAAGCCTTCCTTCTCGTTGTCCAGCCGCACCTTCTTGAGGGCCACCAGCTCCCCTGCCACAACAGGACAGTGTCACAGGGCCCTGCTACCAGCTCCATGGGGCTCCGAGGGGAGAGCTCGGAGCTGCCATGGACACACCAACACCCACCGGGAAAGAGCAGAGCCTGCTCCGTTACCACCCTCGTTAGCACTGCTCTGCCCCAGGCTGGGAGCCAAATCAGGAGCAGTGACACCGGTGCTGCTGCTCTGCTCCAAGGGGAAGGGACACAGGTAAAGCCAGCCTGCCCTGGAAACTGCTGCAGCCCTTCTCACAAGCTCTGCTGCTATAAACTCAACAGAGGCTGCCTCAAAAGCAGCGCTTGGGGCATCTTTGGTGCTGTAACTGCACCTGCCATGAGCACCGCAGCAGGCAGCACGCTGTATATGCAGAGCACAGCTGGGCACCAGCTCGTGGACCACAGGATTTCTGTGACTGCGCTTTGCTCCCCACTTCTTTTAAGCCCCTTTTGAAAACCCCCAGTGTTCATTCTAAGTCTGGAGCTATTTCTGGTTCTACAGGTATTTGTCATTAACTGGCACCACCACCAAGCCTGGAGAGGGCTTTAAGCACACCCACCTAACAGAACCAGGCCATAAAGAGGCAGAATTGACCTGAAGTCACTTGGCATCTTTACCTGTATCCTTGTCCTTGGCTTTGTACACCTGCCCGTACGTCCCTTCTCCAATAATCCCAATGATATCAAATTTGTCCACACAGCGCTTCCCCCAGTCGCTCTCCGTCTGTCTCCTTTCCCCATACCGAGGACAACAGATTCTGGAAGAGGAAAAAGGCCCGTTAGACTCCCAAGGGCTCCACTTACCACAACCCTGCAGGCAAACCCTGCCCTAGGAACAAGGGCTGAGCTGGGGCGCCCTGTCCTGCTCCCCTGCCAACTGAGGGTTTATTTCACGCTGCGCACGATCTCGGCTGCTCCAGATACGTAGCAGCGCTTGTAGAAATGTTATCCCTTTTCTTCAGTCACTCATTAAAGCACCCCAGCCAAAAGCACTGCGTTGCTATCAGATCTTTTCCCATCAGTTTTGTACTTAAAAAGTTGAACGATAGCTTTCTTCTACGGGGCAAATAAGGCATACAAGTCAGAATGGGGAAGACAAGCAAAAGGGTGTTATGCCACCTCAAATCCACAGGCTTCGATACGGCAAAATTACTTTGTCATAGCCTCTTTGGACATGTAAACAGTTACACTGATTTCTACAAAGACCTCAATACAACAAAGCAGTTTGAAAGAGAACCAAGCGTATCTAAAAAACCCCCAAAGAATTATATTACAGTAGCACAAAAGGCAGTGTTTGAAATCTGCACAAACACTGGACATTTGATCCGTCTTTGTTTTAAATAAAGTGCAGCTAGCAATGCACATACAGAGAGACCCTACACATGCAGCAGTTTACTAACACTTGACAACTGCATGAATTTTGCTACGCAGGGAAGCTGCAAACACCTCACAACATGATCCACACTTCAACAGTGCATGAAGATAAGGCACGTGGCTCCTTTCCTACATAACCTCTTCTTAAAAGCACTAGGAGCTTTATGGAGGGATATTTATCAGGAGATTGCTTTGGCCTAGAAGCTACAATATGAAAAGATGAAGGAAGTCTCAGGGCAGATGTGGCCAAAGACTGAACGTTAACACTCCAGCCATCCCTGATGCTGAAAGGATCAAAGGGAAGGACAACCCGGACATTAAGTCTAAGCTGCAGCCTCCACTTGATGCACAACACGCACACCCTCCTCTTCTTCACCAGCTGCAACTGCTGTACTCTTCATTCTCAGATTGTTGGTAAGTAGTTTTCAATTACCACCAGGAATAGATAGTATATTATCAGGAAAAAAATAATAAAAAAAACAGGGCTTGGTTTATCCAAACACCAATCTGAGGACATAAGATTTTCAGTAAAACAGAACCAAGTCTGACTGAAGATTTATAAATAAGTACACATTAAGAGTTCTCCTCATCCTATAGATTGCAGGGAAGATGCTAAGGGAAGGCAAAGCAGGTGCCAGACAACTTTAGAATTGCCTGAGCTTTGAACAACCATCTCTTGCACAGGGACATACAGAAAACCTAACAACCAAAAAAGCCAAAAAAACAAAGGAAAGCAGCCTTACTTTGGTCTCTTTTTGAACGGTTGCTGAGGTGGTGTGGCTGCCTTTGGTTCTGGGGAGTCGGGAGGAGATGGGTCCCCTCCAGGGAGCTCTGGAGGGAGCGGGAGGTCCGTGAGTAAGTGTCGTGGTCTCTGCTCTCTATCTTTCTTCACAGGCTTCGGAGGAAGAATCTGTTTTGGACTAAACTCCGCAAAGTTAATATAATACAAAGGTCAGACTTAGCAGGCAATTAAAAACAAACCAAAAAAACCCACCATTGTAGGCCAAAGGCTCTGCGTTTGAGCGCAAAGTTAGGAGCCCAAGTTTAAGTGACAAAATTAGCAAAAGTATAAAGCAAAGAATAACCACGTTTTACACAGCTAAAAAGTCGGTGGAGAAAAATATTAAGTTTAGATGACTTCAAATAAATCCACTGCTCTTTGTAACTAGAACTCTCTCAGTTTACACAAATAAACAGTTCTTCTGAAGCTCCCAGAAGATACATAATTCAGGTTATCACCACGTTACCCCTTGCAGACCCTTACTCCACTACTAGGCCCATTTATTATGGTGTAATTAAATGCATGACCTGTTAAGGACTGCCATAAATACACAAAGACACTCAGAATTAATTCCCTACAAGAGCTGCTTTCAAATTCTAAGGACCAAAGCATCACCAAATTTTACATATTGCTAAGAAAATTTACATATTTGCTGAGAAACCAACGGGATTTGCCTTGTTTTAAAATATCAGTGGTGTCAGTAGAGATTGGTTTAGACTAGCAAAAGTCTCATAAGCAGAATCTAATTCCTCCCCCCTGCTTGTATGTGGCAAGGAGAATTCCTACGTCTGAATAGTCAGTAATTCTTCTCCATGAAAACCTGTTTCACCAGAAAAAGAAATCTATTAAGAGATAGGAACCACCTCTCATAGTTCTTCTCCTGCTGACACACAGTTATCTGTGCATAGTTAATCTATTTGTACGTTAACATACAAATACTACTAGATGGTTGTAAACCAGGGCAATGCTGAGTAGTAGCTACTACTACTACTAGATGGTTGCTCTGCTGTCAGAACATTTGGACACTTGCATTTTTTGTTTTTAATGAGAAATCTAAACAAACCCTCCAGAGTTGCCCAAGCTAAAACAGTGACAAGCTCGTCACCAACTGCCTGACAAGTCCCCTGGAAGTTGCCTCCCTTCTCCTCCTTCCCTGAGAGAGGGCACGCGTCAAGCAGCTCCGTTTTTAAACCATGTTAGCACTATCACCTGCTGACCAGGTGTTCCCAGGAATCTGGGCCTTCCTGCTGCTCTTCTGGCCAGGGGAAGCGACCCCAGGACACCCTGACTGCTGAAATGACTAAGTCACAGACCAAAAATTGCTCAAAACATTGGCAAGCATGAGAAAAGGTCATGGAGAGTCTAGCCAAGTGAGATGCATTTTGTACTTGGACATTTCAAAGCATATTTTCAAACCCTGTGCTTACCATGCTCTTAGAGCTCTGCAGGAGTGATTTCCTAGTCTCTGCACAGGGAAAAAAAGAATCTGCTTAAAGACTTTTACTCACAGAGTCACTTGGTTAAGAGTGAGCTTCTGTATATGGTCAGTATCACTTAAAACCAGCATTAGACTCAGCAGCTGAAGTGAGATTTCCCCTCTTTTTATTGGAGGAAGCAGCACTGGGAACTCTAGCAACCAACTGTGCTGTTACCCACGCTCCTAAGTTCATGGGGCCATCAGAGGTGGAACAAGGATAAAGCCACACTGGTTTGGAAAATGAAATATCACTTTTGCAGCATTATTTCTATGACTGGAGATGGGTGAAAACAGAAGAATCTTGCTTCAACTGGCATTGAATGGGGATAAAATCTGCAATCGGTTAAAAGCTGCTGCTCCTCCCCGATGAATTTAAACTAAACAGATACTTGCTGAACAACACAACATTAAACAGCTCGGGGAGGGCAACACAAACATGTGTGAGTCTAGCTTTTATGGTTATCATGGTGACAGCATTGCCTTGATTTACATCAATACCGGGGCAACCCATGAAAATCAATTAAGAGAATCAGAATATGTAACATACAATTTTATATAATTCCCCTTTTGTCTTTTTTTTTAAAAAAAAAAAAGTAACTGTCATGCAAAACTGTTAAAAAATATAACTTCACCGAGACATCTAATACGTTCTATAGTGAGGGTTAGAAAGAGACAGAAGCTGTAAGGAAACTACAGGCTAAGACCAGTGATTGTCTATCTTCTACTGAAATAACAGCCTTACCCTAAAATATTAAACATCTACAAAAAGGGAGAGGAAAACCAGTATTTTTTCCTCTCCTTTTGTACTTGTGGTATTCTGTAGTGACCCTCTGCCATCCTGCTGCCCCAAAGGAAGGAAAGAGATGAAAAGGCAGCAGCTCCTGTGGACAGGTTCGTGTTGGAGGCTGAGCAGGAGAGCAGCTACACAAGGCAGACCCTGCGAGCCTGGCTTAGAGCTGGAAGGACAGAGGTTTTCCGTGTGCATCCCGCGGCGGGACAGGAGGAGCGCACAGACACGGTGTGTGCCAAGGAGGACAGCACGTTAGACTTGTCACCACCACAGCTCTGATCATCTGCTCTGATCAGCTCTTTGACAGCAGAAAGAGTATTTTAAGTAACTTTTTTAAGGCTCAGAAAAATAAGTTCAGTTTTGCTCCCAACATTGACGCACTCGCATTCTCAAAGAAATAAAACCTACAATTTCAAAACAAGCTTTTGCAAAAGGCTGCAGTGCAAAGGGCTGCATAACTCTGGATCCACAGGTTATTATCATAACAAACATGAACTAATCGCTAACATGATTTGGAATTTCTAGCATTAAAACAGTAGCCAAGCCACTCTTCCTTACTGAGATCATATATACCTGTCACATCAGCCATGAAACTTTCCCTGTAGAGCCAATAGGGCCAAAAGCACAGGAATGGCCACACGATATGGTATTTATTAGACACTGGGATAACCGTCACTGCTGGCTGGATAAGCTAACAACCATGAAACTAATCAAAATAGAATTGCTCTTCCTTTCAGTGCTTTGCATTCAAATACAAACCGAAGGACGCCGTCCCACGTGACCTTACCTATCCAAGTCATCTTCCCCAACTAAAATAGGGGGGAGCGGGAGCGGAGGCAACGTCGAAGTTTTCAGGTGTGGGATAGCAGCCGTCACAGACACTTGGGTTTTTGTAGCGACTTGGACAGAAGACTGAGAGTTCACCTGAGAGGATAAAGTAGACGTCCTTGGGTGGGAGGAAGATGGCAAAGATGTCGGGACTGAAGCAGGGAGCTGAACGGGAGCCAGTTGGGATGGTGGCAGAGGAGGAACAGCAGGTGACGGAGGCAAAGGTGGCAGCGGCGGAGTCGGAGGTGGCGGCGTGGTTGTCGGCAGAGGCGGAGGAGGTGATTTGATTGAGGGCAATGGGGGTGGAATCTCCTTCTCTGCTGCCTCTGTCTCTTTTGGAGACAGAAGCTCCTCTTTCACTACTACAGGCTTCGAGTCTTTTGTTCCCATTTGTTTTGCATCTTTAACTGGAACAGGATGTTTCTTTTCAGAGTTCTCTTCTGCTTTGACTTTTATTGTGTCTGCAGATGCTTTAGTCTCTGCATTTGTATACAGTAAATTAACTAATTCTGTATCTGAAGACGACTTTTCAGATTTAACAGTTTTGGTGACCTTTTTAGACTCTGTTCCAGACTCCTTAAGTTCAGTTGAGCTGTTCTCCTTTCTAGAAAGGAAAACAGGCGAGCCCTTTGCCTCCTTTCCATCCACCTTGGCTGCAGCCGCTGCCGCCGCCGCTCGTTCCTTCTTCTTCCTGCTGCGGTCGGCCCCCAGACTCGAGTTCAGCGGCAGCCTGGTAGGGGATATACTGGAATGGCGACTGCGTGACCCAGACCTCTGCTTTTTACTGTGAGATGATGAGTGTCTTGAATAGCCAGGACTTCGACTGCGGGACTTCACGGATTTCCTGTGGGGAGAACGGGAAGACAAGTCACACGAAGCAAGTCTCAACCTCTGAGCTACTCACCGTCGTTAAAGGCACTCTCTGAAAAGAATTCAAATTCCTTATTTGTCAGCTAAGTTTAAAGAGTCCATAACACCTGCCAAGAGAGACTCAAGTTACCCAAACCTACTTTGGGACCCGAAACACGTTATAGTAGTCAACATCCAGCTTCCAGGGTCAACACTGTCCTTACATCACACAGTTAAAATAGAAATGAAGCCTCAAGACTGGACAAGGCTCAAGGTAAAGATGAGACTGTAGATGCATGAGCCGAGCAGCTGAGAGGATGACCCGGCAGTTTAAGAATCTTTCACTGTAATTACATGCAGCTTTGGAGGAAACAACAGAGAAAACGTGACTGCCCTCGTGGGAATCTCGCCTCAGGAAACAGCTCACTTCAAGCTAATTTTTCCCCTGGTTCCTTTACTATCATCAGAATTCCAATTTGCTTATTGGGATTCAGGGGAAAAAAGAAACAGGAATTTTAATTCTGTATATTCGGAAGGTGTCTGTCGTCGCCCACAATAAATGGGCTCTAAATTAGTAGTATGTGCAGGGCTTACTGAGAAACCTGCACTGCAATACAAGGCAGGAAGTGTCCAACACCATCAGGGCTCGCAAGATAAACACAGTACAACCCTAGTCAGAAAACTGCAATAACTGCAGACTCACTGGAGACCAATTTGGAAACCATTAAAAAGTAGAATTGGAAACTCATTTCCAGTCTATATGTCAAAGTTATTGGCAAGAGAGCCCCGTTTTTTCCCTCTTCAGTAAATCGGGTTTTGATGGGAATTCTGCCTCAAGATCATGCCCTTTTCCACAGGTCTGGTTAATGAGTTAATTGTCCCACTTTGCCATTCAGATACCAATTCACCTGCCACATCCCACCACAAAGCTGCCAGGAGCTGAAAAAAAACCATCACTGCTCTGTGCAGTGACAGCCTTTGCAGGCTAAGAAAACATTCCCAACAAACCCTGCAGGTTGTAGTTCACTGCAACCACAAATAGTTTTAGAGTTACCCTTCACCATTCCCTTCCTCTCCTTCAGGAGAGATCCTGTTTAAGACAGCCTGAACTCAGTTCCTTGTTCCCGACCTTCTCTCCTTCCCCCTGCAGATTATCTCTTCCCACTTCCCACAGTGGGAGGGAAAATGCACAGGCAGATTTCATTTGTAGAGGAATTCCTCCCATTTGGGACATCCTTTCTGGCTTTACCTGCAGCCAACACTTTGGTACTTTTCTCCCTTCTCAGCCTTACATGAACTAACAGCCCCAAAGGCTTCCTCTGCTTGCTGTAATTAACAGAGGTTTGGGGTAAAAGAAGGCCGTCTGTCCTGCACATCTTCCTTTTTCTGGATAAAAGTGCCTCCAATAAAACAGCATTAAACTATCAGATAGAGAGAATTAGGATGGTCTTTAGAGGAGGAAATGCTGGAAGTCTCCAGACCTCCTCGTGCTGCAGGAGCAGCTTCTGCCAAGAACTTTTGGCACAGGTGAACCTGGAGCAGTCCACGCTTACGGGCTTCCACATCAGCCACCACACAAATTCCTGAGAACATCTCCCAGCGTGAAAACACCACCCGTGCTCCAAAGCAGAGCAGAGAGGAGGAGCAAAGGAGAGGAGTATCTGGGCAGTTTGACCACGTGCTCCTGCTCCAATTTCCCAGGAAAAGCCCAAGCAGAAGAGCACTGTTTCTTACTCACACACCACGGCACAGATCTGTGCAGCAGCAGCCACTGCTACAGCACGTGGAGACACTCACACTTAGATGCTACAGTCGGCACAGAGCACAACCCACCTTCAAACTGAACGACTCTGCAATTCCTTCTAGTTTTCGCTACATTGACAACAGTTGCTACAAGTCGCATCTGTTATTTTCCCTACTGACCAAATCATCCCCATTTCCTCCTGAATTCAAAGCAAGTTGCTTGGCACACCCATTTGGAGCACGAGCATTCTGCACACGCTCCAATCAGCGCAGCATGTTGATTTAGTTTCCTAGGACTGATTTTTGGACATGCAGATTAAAGAAAAAAGTAGAATGCACTTAAAAAAAAAAAATCCAACATTTCTAGGCAATGGAAATAATTGAGTGTCCCAAAAAAGCCTGTTACCTCTTCTGAAGAATTTAAGCTATGGTCCCATGCTTAGGACAGAAGCAAGGGTAGGAGTATAAGATGATTTCTCTCCAAAAATTGTTATTGCTCCTCTGTGTGATCCAGGGGAGGGCACCCATCCTCGCCCTGTGGCTGCCCTGGTGCTACCTGGTGCCTCCGTCTGCGGCGGCTGCTCCGTGGAGCCGGAGCGGCCGCTCCGGGCGGGATCTTGGGCAGCGTGCGGCCGGGGGACATCTCTGCCTCGCGCAGCAGATGTTGGACCATAAATGTAAATTGACTTCCACATTGTACTGACTGCAAGCTTAATGAAGCGAAACCAACATATTAATTATAACCTAAAATTTGCCTAATATATGGAAAATACATTCAATTCTCTCCATCCCTTGGACATAATCACCTAAGGCAGATGCTTTCTGAAGGCATAATCCATGCTTTGTGTTCGGATCTGAAGAAAATACATCAAAGTCAGTAAGTTATCTTTCAAGAAAGGAGAGAAGAGTGACAGGTTATCAGCTGAAGTCACAGATTCAAAGACCCTAGTACAAGCGGAGCGTAAACAATAAGTAACCTTTGAAATCTATTTTGGTTTGGGTTTAGCTTTTTGTCAGCGAGTCAAAGATGCCTTTAAAAAGGCTCCTACAAGGGGAAGCTCAGGGAAGCACAAAGTGCTTCAGAGGCACTTGTGTCTTTAGGAGGAGAACGTTGATTTCCTGGGTCAGGAGCAACTGGGGGAAAAGACCCCATTTAGGGTAGGGCTCTCCCTGGCTACAGCTGAGCACGGCCGCTCGGCAGACCCCATGGGCACCGTTAGCTCATGCATCACACCCAAGTTTCTACTACCCTATCTTGCCCTTGCACAAAGCATTCCTAAATAGCCTGCAAAAGCCCTGCCACAAGGTAAAAGCGGGGCGAGGGGAGGGAAAAGAAAACCAGGAAGGACTTGGCTCCCTCAGCACCTCTCAGATGTATGTATAGAACGGGGAGAAGGAGAAACAAGCCGGGAATCAGTGGGAGGAGGGAAGAGAGGGCAACTCCTGCTTGTTTGCTCCACCATTTCGCATGGCCGGTTTCCCATAGGAGCTTCCAGGCCGCTCCACAGCGCGGCTCTTGCAGAGAGGATGTTTCAAGCCCGGAACGCAGCAAAGAGACAAGAGCAGCTCTCGCAACAACAGCGAAATTCCAAAGCCACCAAGTTCTCTGGCAACTCCCGATCACTAAACTAAACCCTGGAGGCAGATTCTTCCCACAGCTCCTGCTTGGAGCGAGGGATGCAGCGCTGCCAGCACGGCACAGAGCATTTCAATAGTTATTGCATTCCAGGTCAGATCTTAATTGCCATGGAGCTACAACCAGAGCGCCACAGCACACACAGCAACAACCGGAGCCGCGCTCAGGACTTGTGCACACAACAGGGTGGCTAATAAACATCTGAAATAAAACACAGTTAGCAGCACTTTCAAGTAAGGAAGAGTTTGTATTTCTGACTGAGTGTGGAGGAAAAGGAGAGAGGAAAATTATAATTAAGCCAAAATACAACTGCTTCCTACTTGCCCTTCCAGAATGCCCTGATTTCAGGATATGGAAGCAAGTAACTCCATTACGGAGAAAGTTTAGGCTAGAAAGATGCAGTTTACACACGGTCATCACTAATTCAAGGGAAGGAAAAAAACAAGTCAGTGTAGAAAGAGTAAAACACACTCAAACCAAGAGTGACCCTCCTTAAAAGCATGAGCAAGTCTTCACATCTAGCAGAAAGACAAAGAATTCTAGAAATAGGTGGGAAAGATTCTTCCCAATGGAAATTCCCACTCATGAAGGGCCTTGGGAGGGGAGTGCTCCATCCTCATGGAGGCTGCAGATCCCCCCCGCAGGGGCCACCTCTAGAGGAGAGTGTAACTTAATCCCGGGAGCTCATTCGGCCCCGGGGCTCTGCTGGGAGCCAACATGGAGGCTGCCTAGCGCCACGCAGGGAGGTGTTTTCCAAGGTGTGAACACCATTTCCCAAAAGAACCATGGGAACCCTTCCCAAAGCAACACCACACGTCGCCACCAACACCCCACGGGCCCGAGCGCGGTTACGAAGGGGGCCGTTTCCACATCCCCAGAGCCGCTCGTCCCGAGATGCTTCCTCATCCCCGCGCTTCCACGTTCCCGGCGCCGCGCGGTCACGCACCTGGCGATGGGGCTTCGGCTCACGGAGCGCTTGGCCGCGAAGGGGCTGCTGGAGCGCCGGCGCCCGTAGGGGCCGGGCGACCCGCCCCCGCAC